TGTCTATACCTGACCTTGCACTTACACAATAAAATTAGCGATTAATTTTAAAACATTAAAACATGCTGTGTATAAAATATATTGAGTTACACCTGCACCTAACCAGTACCACAACGCCAATGGTGGTAGTGGTGGTGGTGGTGGTGGTGGTGGTGGTGGTGATGGTGGTACTGGAGATTGTGGCGATGTCTATTGAACATACAAAGTGCATTCTGTACCGTACTTTCAATGATACCTTCCCTTACAGCTCACTCTCCCTCCCTCTCCCGCACACTATCTCATGATATATGCGTTGTTTGTAATGATTGGTAGTATTAATGCGTCAAACAATAAAATTAATGTTAAACAATAAACTCATTTAAACAGCACCTTTATGTACAAAACTTTTCTAACGTAAGTGCACTTTATAGCTACTAATTTGAATGGCATTTTCGCAAGAATAAACGGCATTTAGACATCATTAATAACTATATACATGTAACTCACAAATATAACAATAAATATTTTAATTTTAATTTTATATATGGCACTGTCAATTTTGTATTTTGCTTTTGGGTGCAAATTTTGTCAAACATTTAGTTTTAAACATTTAAATACACGCCTCCCCTATGAATTAATTATGGCAATAACTTAATTTTATGAATTTATTATAGATTTATTTTATTTCTTTTTTTGTCTAAATACAGGTAATTAGTATGAATACATTGGGCGTAATAGTATACATCAATTACATTATATTGTTTTAATCCCTAATAGCATATAGCCAGAATTCAGTTTGAAACAGTTTTAACATGATAGATTAATGTAACAGGAATATATTTCAATTAAGATAATTACTATAATAATCTAAGCTAGGCAAATAAAGTATTACGAATAAAATGATGAAACTACTCACCGATTTTACAGTACTTTTCTCGATGAAATCAATTCCGAGATATAACTTATAAATCCTGGTGTCTATTATCACATATGAAATATGTTTGTAATAAACAAAAAAGTTTTTCTACGCGCACCAGAAATACACAGAAATATATTTAATCAGTAAAAGAGTCAAATAAACAGAAAAAAATTTAATTTCAATTCACTGGAATAGATAACAAAACAAAAAAACTATAATATTAATAAAAACATCGGGTAAAACAAAAAAAAAATTTAATTATAGGTTTGGTCGAGACATAACCTAATAATACACAGTAGTAGTAGTATTATTATTGGTGTTTAAAATAATTATGAACTAAAATGAAAAGTCAATTGAAACTACTGTATAATGACTGACTGACTGGAGTACAGAGCTATGAATAAGTGACAGAAAGTGCAGACTTGTGCTCAGGAATAGTGGCTAAATGTTCTCGTTATCATCACCACTACAGTACTATTATTGCACTTTTCCACTCTAAACACTAAACACTAATCACCACCGGGAACAGGGATAAGATAGCACCACCAACACACATATATTAATAATACCGTGCAATGTACTGTCCTTTACAGTGCACATTCAGTTTGTAGCATTCAGTACAGCGTGTATATTTAATTTCTTATTATATTCCGAGGTAGGCTGTAGTGAATAGACAACTACCCCCGTAAAGTTCCCCTGGATAATGTGTGTGCACTCAATTGCACTGGTATTTACTACGCGCACATTATTATATTAATACACATTTATTAATAGATTTACTTGTGTTTGGGTCTATAGTGTACTCAATTGTATCGGTCGATATGAGACACAATTATATCATAAACTAATTGTTTTTAATATTTAGTACATATATTATACTGAATGAAAGAAACCATTAAACTGTTTATAACATACAAATTCATACAATACAACACGAATTCAATGAGAAATGTCTACAAAAACATTGAAAACATATAGTGGTGTATATACATGGAGTACAATGGGAACTGTAGTGCACAGGTAGATGTCGGTTAGGACTGTAGTACTTGTGAATTGCATAACAATTAGGCTGCGATCTACGGCTGCACTACGAGTTTGTAGTATTTGTTATTAGTTATGGCCATAAAAATCAATTTTTATGTTTCATATAAACATATGGTTTTCCGACGACTGTATGTATTCTCTCTGCCAATAGTTAGCTAACTATCGCATGAATTTCATATTGAGATCCGAAAGTACAGCGTTTGCGCACATATTTTGACGACAAAAAACTAACTAAAATATAATTTCCCCTTTCATGAGTTGGTATAATCCAGGTTGTTTGTACGGCATTTAATATAGCATTTATTAAATTAAATTAAATATA